GAAGTTAGCTGGATTTCTATGTTTAACTTGCTGATAAAATGCGGTCTGATATTAATTATAAACACAGCTCTACTTCTACTGTCTTTATTATCTTTATTACTGGCTCACAGTACAGGCTGGAGAAGGTTAACTCTACAGTTTATTAAATGGTACAGTCTGTTTTTGTAAGCAACCACAGCTTTTTTAAACATTTCCTATAGCTGCTCGAGACTTGCACAACTGTCAGGAGGAATTTAGATTCAAGCCGCCTACATAATGGTTTCAGTTCATCAGTAATTCTAAAATATCTTGATTCTTCTTTAGGTCATCTCAGTTAAATTAAGGTCAGGACTTCTGATTTTCTCCTATTCACAGCAATGGCTGTAAAAAAAGACTTCTGGTCCTCTAGATGTCTGTAGGACAGGGTCTCAGTGACTTATTTTGGATTATACCGAATAAGAAATTAGCTTTAGTTTGTAAATCTTGGTTATACTACATTCCAAAAAACAGGATTATGGATGTCGTGCTGCCGGCTTGTGATTGACAAGTTGTTAGCTAATAAGTAAGCACTTTCACTGTTAGTCTGGCTGAACATATCCTACAATAATGTCCTACAACTTTTAGGATATCCAGAAGATCTGTAGTAGTTTACGTTAATCGTATCCTATTGTTCAGTGATTTTTCTCAAAATTTACACATGACCAAAGATTTCAGCCTTCTGAGAGACTGAGCAGGCTGCTTAATGCTTCGCACCACACCAGTCGCTTTTTCTTCTTGAGAACAGCAGACTTAATAAAGACGTGCAAGGACTGGTTACTAACCTGAAAGGTAACCTCTATCCTCTATTACCTGAACACTGGACTTTTTAGAGAAGTAATTAGCACAGAGGTTAATAAACTCTTCCAGCCTGGACTGTGAGTATCTATTCAGAGTCTTTAATAAAGATGCGACAAAATGAGTGTTTGTGTTTTATTAGTTTAGTCACATTTGTCTGTGATTGTTATTTAGATGAAGATAAGACCACGTTTATGTGCAAAAGATCTTAACTATTACAAACATTTCATATACTATAGATGATTTCTATAGGAAATAAAAAAAACAGGACTGCTTTAGAGCTGACAGCCCCCCTCCCCCCACAGGATTTAAACACAGTAAGAAAGTTAATACCCACATGATTTCCTGTTCTCTTCAGTCTCCCTGTAAAGTCTGCTGACACGCTCCACCAGCTCCCACTTCTCACAGCACCCTGAATAGTTGACAAAATTCCTGGCCAGTATCTCTTTCAGCTGCCTGACAGACAGGCCCTCAATATCCCGTAAACTGGAGATGTCTGAGAGGGATGCTCTGGCCCAACGTCGAGTCTGAGGACTAACCTACAGGACAGGAAACACCACTAAATGAAATATTATGCACACAATACTCTTTTTTCATCATATTCTGCTTCTTGTTAATCATTATAATTTATTTGTTTGTTTGTTTTTTAAACTGTCTGCAAACATGAACGCATAACTGAGTTTTCATATCTCCAAGTAAGCAGAACTGTTTCTGGGATCTTAGATGAATAAAATTCTTTTCATTGATTTTCAACCCAAGTCACCCAAAAGCATCTAAGCATTCATCACACTGCTCTCTAATACTTGCACCACAGTTTTATCAGCAATAATGCATGAATTCACTTTTATTACAAGGAAAATAAATAGAAAGACCTCAGGAGTGTCTTCACTGGGATCCAAGTTGAGAAGAGACACTGATGTACCGTCTCCCAAATCCTGAAAGGCAACAACAAACATCGTATGCACTGCACACAAGAAGCATGCCGCCAACAGAAGATTAGGATTAGACAGACCTCAGCCAGCCCATTGATACACTGGAAACAACAATGCCTGGTACGTTCCATTCAAAGACAAGCTTACTGCTCTATAATCAGGCCTGGTACAAGTATTTGTAGTGGCTCCTCGCTGCTTGAGGTTGGGCTCTCTTCTAGCTTATTTGCTTTCTTTTATTGCTTTCTAGAGTCCTGATTTGTTTTTATTTAGTTGGTGTGCAAATTTAGCTGAAAGGATGAGCAGTGAACTCTAACCGACTCATTTTCTGGAAAACACTCACGTGAATTTCTTAGAAATGTATGCGTTGCACCAACAGAAAAGTATTACTACATAAATATCTGTAGAGGTCTGGAGAGTATGTTATTTGCATACATGTGTTTAACCTGGTTCTGACCTGGTTGGTGTCAGAGCTATCGCTCCTGCTGAGCGCTTCCTCCTGAGAGGCAGCGAACGCAGACAGCTCGGAGGCAGACTGTGTGGTAGAAGGGGTTGGAGTGTACAGGGAACGCGACTGAAGGCTGGTCATGTCGGGGTCCTCCTCTTCCTCGATTCCTTGATGACAGAGAACCAAGTCCACCAGATCTTCCTTCTCCCTGCAGGTGTCGGTGGGGATGTTACGCAGCAGCAAGTACTGACGCAGGTCCTTCACTCTGAGACGCATGAGCCGCGGCCGCTGAAAGGCCGTTGCCTTCAGCAAATGACACGTGGCACAAATGCGTAAATTCTCCTGAAGCACGGAGCACAGAGAGCAGAAGCTCTTCTTGCAGTCGCAGCAAATATACTGAGGAAGATAAACAAGGTGATGGAAATGAGGGAATTAGTGATTTATGCACACCTTCCGCCATGTGCTACTGCAAGGTATCTCATCGCAGGAAGACGTCACAGACAAAAATGTAACCCGTCTCATTCTCCTCCTTATATGCACATATATTTTATAATAAATATTGCTATTACAGTCAAAACAGGAAAAATACCAAAACCATTTAATAAATCACTGAATGCCACCAGAGCTTTATTGCATTTCTATCACTCACATCTGCTCTTCCCATGCAGACAGAGACAGGAGGTGCTTTCTTTCATGTGACAAACATCAAAGAGTAATAAATGCAAGATATGGGATTAGACCGGCATGGTGGTGTGCAGAGGGTTCAGACAGAGTGAGAGCCTGAGCATGAAGATATTAGAGCACTAGCATGTTGGTCCATCTGCCTCCCAACTTGTGCCTTTTTGTCCCAGGACAAATAAATATTCATCATGTCAGCACTCTAGAAAACCAGTTAGCCTCTTTTTAACTATTTGAATTCGTTTAAACCTTTATAATTACATGCTTTTTTCTTAAAAAAAAAAAAAAAAAAAAGAACACCCATTAAAAATGCACATGAGAAAATGAGCTAAGCACGCACACTCTCCATGCCCACAGTACTTCTGTCTAAATAATTCATTTAATATGTTTCCTCCTTATCAGACCAGGTAATATGTTTGTATTAGACAGAACACCCAGGCACCTACCTTCCTCCTGAAGACTGAGAAGGCCTGACCACAGGCCTTGCATACAAGACTGGGACTCCCTGAGCTGGTGGGCGGGTACGTGGAATATCCCGCACTGGGGGCAAATCTGAAGGGTCCAGCACCGGCCCCGAACCCTGGCTGCTGGCCTCTGACGGCCCCAGTACCCATGACTTCATTCAGCAGACCACAGCATGAAGCCCACATGGAAGAGGCCCCTGCCTGACATTTACAAAACACCTTTACTTCAGTATTTAGTGTCTTCACGTTGAATCCTGAAGAACATCTTGTTCTTACTGACAATATGTCAGCCACAAAGGCCCATCAGTATAATTTATACACGGTTACCACAAGCACCACAAGGTCACATATATGTGCATATTATACATGATTATAATACATGAAACTACTAGAAGGGGTTTGTACGAGCTGTTCATAAAGCACAAGATGTGAATAGATAAAGTAAATGTCAACAGTAAAAGCACTTAAGGTACCTAATGTCACAAAAAAGCAGAAAAAAGCTAGACCAATATTCACCTGGAAACCTAATGTAACTAAATAATCTTAACGTCAAATCAGTGTTGAGTGACAGGTGCCAGAGTGGCTGTTTGTCCGGCCGTTTTGAGTATTTAGCCAGCACAAGCCCAGAAACGTCAGCGACCTGAAGCTTGCGTTAGCCGTTTGGTGCTAGCGAAAATCTAATCAGACAGATAATTGGAACAAAGGTTATGTAAAGAAAAAAATACCTTCATTGCAACTCCGGCGTGTCTACCAAGACAAAAGAGACTGTCAGTGTAACCATTGCAATGCGTAGCGTCGCTTATTTAGATAAAGTATCTTCTCTGAACGTAATGTGATGAAACCAACTCCCGAGTCCACCGCCGCTGTACTGCTGCTTCTGTGGTCTTATTGCAGCCAGGCGACGCATTAGTGCCACCTACTGTTAACTTGCAGAAATTGTCCACAAAAATGAACAAAAATATGTAGGCACTTTATAATCAAATTTCGCCAAAACAAACACAAATGAAGATAATAATTTTAGAAGATAAGATAGACTGATTCGCAGACAGTGATAATCCTATCTTTGCTCTGAAACAGACAAACAAATATTAATTTAAGTTTTAATTCATCATCATTCCACAAGTGTGCCCCTTCTAATTCTTCTCAGGTTGCCACTCTTTGAACCATAAACAGATACTTCAATAATGACTGTTATTTTTTTTAATATACATATGCTCTTGTAATTCTATTTATACGGAGCTTTTGCGAGATCTCGCAAAAGTCCGTCTTAATTTTTTTTTCTCCCATGTCCCCTGCGGGGCTCCATAGTTTTGGATGCGCTCGGCTCCAACCAATCAGACCAATTAATGCAGACGGCGCACTGTCACTAATCCCGTAACTGCACACTACCCATAATCCTCAACCGCCGTTGCTATGGAAATGAAGATAACAACAGCTTGGTGCTACCCGTTATTCCTTTATTTACTCTAAAATAATAACCAGCGATAATATGAAAATAAACTGGCCCAGTGTTTAATTATGTAATTACAAATTGCAAATGTTATTTTTTTATTTAATTTTTTTACAAATTGCAATATTTATCTACAGCGCGCCTTTAGCGACATGTCAACAGATCTTAAGCAAGGCGATTGGATGGTTCTTACTGCAATGCATCTTGGGAGTCGTAGTAAATGTATCTTTCAACTCACGGTCCTGCAGCGAATTTTTCGACTCGACACGAGGCAGATCCTAGCTAAGTAAGTTGTGATAAACTGTGGGTAATTTGCATGTTAAACTGATATTAAACTTGAAATGTTTTCACAGAGCAGTCTGTGTACCAAGAGAACTACTTCTGCAAAAGTTTATTTAATTTTTTTTTGGTGATGTATTCTCATGTGTAAGACACTTGCTTGGCCACCCAGCTAATGTTAGTACTGCTCTATTTTAGCAATGTATCTTTTCTGTAATCATTTCAGTTTTTTTTAACCCTATTGACGTAATTAACTCAATATTAATGACTTTAATCTCGTAATTGATTTTTTTTTCTAAATATGGTGTAATACTGCCTCGTAATATAAGTTATTTCTTTGGTCATGAATTATTTTTGTAGTCATTTAACCAAAACAGACCTGAAATGATCCCTACATGTTCCATTTTCATTTGCAGAAATGACAAAGCCAAAAACCAAACCATGCCCTTCCTGTCAGGCTCCAAACACCTGCAACAGGAAGACATGCAGTGGATGCCTGGGCAGCCTGAACGTAAAGGAGTGATTGAAAAAAAACAAGAACAGTTTAAAAACAGTAACTGGGCTGCCTCTGTTAAAAACAACAGAAATGCGAGCAGGATGGTTAATTCAGCCCAGTTGTCAGTAAGTTTAAAAGTTCTGATCTAATAAGTGGTTGGTCTGCTAGACAATTCTTTATTGATCACAGTTGTCAATGTTTTCTTGTATATCATGAAGTAAGAAACTAACAAGACATGTATATACACATAAAATATTAATTTATAAAAGAGCATAAATAAAAACGTTATCCACATCAGAATAACATCATCACACTATGCTTTGTCCATTATCTGTAACCAGGTGTCCTTATCAGGTAGCCTATCCTAGCTGTCTTTGGGTGATACTCATGGTACACCCTAGATAAGAAGGCAGATCACCACGGGGTACACAGAGACAAACAAGATGGTGAGGATGAGGATAGTTAACAGTCACCAGCTATTCTATTCTATTCTACTCTACTCTATTCTGTTCTGTTCTATTCTATTCTATTATTCAGCCAAGGTTCAGACCAGTAACCTTCTTGCTGTGAGGTGACAGCTGCCCTACATGTCCTGTTGCTAACATAAAATAGTGTTATATATGCCTTATTACCTCCCCATGTGGCGTTCACATCACCAAAGCTAGCCATACTGAACCTCTGGTGTTACCCACCTGAACAATTTTGTATGTGTGTGTGTGTATAGTATGGTCTTTCACACTCATGTATATACAAATGTAATTTTAAAAATCTTCACGAAAACCAGACCTGATAATTCTCTTCGAGACTTTCTAGTATAACAAATGTTATAATGTTACCAATATGAACACCAAGATTCTTAAATAACTTATATACTTCTTAAGAGGTTACCTGATTACCTCCCTGAGGTAGTTAGCATCACCATTGTACAAAACTCCTAAGTCACAGTACTAGCTTGAAGTGTCAAATGTTATGCACTACAAAGTCAGGAAAGTAGTGTCATCAGAGGAAAAAAGTCATTAGCTATCTGGATTTATAGTCACACTCATTAATTTATTAATGTACAATGTAGAAAAGCACTACAGATGTCACACTACCCTAGAGGGCACTTGTACTGAATGATTTGAGTCAGTGAGTGTGTGAGATGACATATTTGATGCCAATATTCACAAGTTGTAACTTTAGTAAAAACGTAACTGAAAACATGCAAATCACTACTTATGTGTTTATGTGTACTGTACATTTTTTCAACCCATTTTAATGAATATTTAATATTTAAAATTTTGCAGAATTACAAGCTTCACCTCCTGCTAAAAGTTCTACACCAGCAGCTGGATCATCCTCTGCTGACAGTGTCGATGCTGGACCAGTCCCAGACCCAGAGGCTCTAAACGAGGAATTTATTCTTCATTTAGAGCCTGTACCAACATCTTCCCTCTGTCAGCCTCCTGCATCCTCCTCTTCATCTCTGCTTCCTCCTGCATCCTCCTCTCCGTCTCTGCTTCCTCCTGCATCCTCCTCTTCATCTCTGCTTTCTCCTGTATCCTCCTCTCCATCTCTGCTTCCTCCTGCATCCTCCTCTCCGTCTCTGCTTCCTCCTGCATCCTCCTCTCCGTCTCTGCTTCCTCCTGCATCCTCCTCTTCATCTCTGCTTTCTCCTGTATCCTCCTCTCCATCTCTGCTTCCTCCTGCATCCTCCTCTTCATCTCTGCTTCCTCCTGCATCCTCCTCTTCATCTCTGCTTTCTCCTGCATCCTCCTCTTCATCTCTGCTTCCTCCTGCATCCTCCTCTCCGTCTCTGCTTCCTCCTGCATCCTCCTCTTCATCTCTGCTTTCTCCTGCATCCTCCTCTTCATCTCTGCTTTCTCCTGCATCCTCCTCTCCATCTCTGCTTTCTCCTGCATCCTCCTCTTCGTCTCTGCTTCCTCCTGCATCCTCCTCTCCGTCTCTGCTTCCTCCTGCATCCTTCTCTTCGTCTCTGCTTCCTCCTCTCCGTCTCTGCTTCCTCCTGCATCCTCCTCTCCATCTCTGCTTCCTCCTGCATCTTCCTCTCCATCTCTGCTTCCTCCTGCATCCTCCTCTTCATCTCTGCTTCCTCCTGCATCTTCCTCTCTGTCCTCTCCATCTCTGCTTCCTCCTGCATCCTCCTCTTCATCTCTGCTTCCTCCTGCATCCTCCTCTCCGTCTCTGCTTTCTCCTGCATCCTCCTCTTCCCTCTCTCAGCCTCCTGCATCCTCCTCTTCATCTCTGCTTCCTCCTGCATCCTCCTCTTCGTCTCTGCTTCCTCCTGCATCCTTCTCTTCATCTCTGCTTTCTCCTGCATCCTCCTCTTCATCTCTGCTTCCTCCTGCATCCTCCTCTTCATCTCTGCTTTCTCCTGCATCCTCCTCTCCATCTCTGCTTTCTCCTGCATCCTCCTCTCCATCTCTGCTTTCTCCTGCATCCTCCTCTCCGTCTCTGCTTCCTCCTGCATCCTCCTCTCCGTCTCTGCTTCCTCCTGCATCCTCCTCTCCATCTCTGCTTCCTCCTGCATCTTCCTCTCCATCTCTGCTTCCTCCTGCATCCTCCTCTTCATCTCTGCTTCCTCCTGCATCTTCCTCTCTGTCCTCTCCATCTCTGCTTCCCCCTGCATCCTCCTCTTCGTCTCTGCTTCCTCCTGCATCCTCCTCTCCATCTCCACATCCTGCATCTCCCTCAATTTCTACGGTGTACACCTCGGATGTCCCAAACAAAACAAAAGGACAAGGAAAGGTTAGATGTTATGGTACTGTAAATGTACGAAACATATGAATATATGAAGAGATAGTAGACAGGAGAGTTGTAAATGTAAGTAATTTAGCCTGCTGTTGTGCAGATTTGTTTGCGTCTTTGGACTTCCCGGATTTGAACTGTGCCTGACTGACTATCTATAAGCTTTTGTATTTGATGAATCTACACTAATTCAGCCACTGAGTCTGTATTTCGCTCCAAATAGGACATTAAATAAGAACATACCACCTGATACGACCTGGTCGTGCTGCCTTCCTGATGTTTACGTTCTTTAAAGTCCTCCTGACATCATGCTCAGAAGGAGTGATTGATGTGGAGGTGCTCCTTCCCATTCAGTAACATCTGCTTCAGTTAGTTTTGCTTGTGAGCCACAATGTAAGCAGTGTTGCTTTGCTGACATGCACTCGATGCTGGCAGTACAAGCATTGTAGTGGTTCTTATGTTTTTGTAAACTAATTGTATAATATATTGAGCCATTCAATAGTACACAAATGTTTATAAGCTCCTTTTTGTATGCAACTTGCATGTCTTTCTTAATTAATTGTTTGTTTATCATGTTTTTTAGGAAAAAGAAGAAGTTAAAGTCAAGTGGAAACCCTGCTCAACATGGTATGTAGTAACAACTTTGTTGGACGGGAACAGACATTCATATTGTTGATAAATAGTTATCACCTCAATTTGAATTCATGTATTTGGACTAAAGTAAATTGGGAGCTTTTAGCTATCGAGCTCCTCTTCTGTGAGGAGCTTGATAGCTGTCCACCTCCAAAGTCCATTATGAGTTTTGGAGGTGGACATGGTCAACACTTTTAAGAGTAGGCATAAGACTTTACTTCTTTATAGAGCTTATAGTTAGGGCTGGTTCAGCTCAGCCCTTAGTTATGCTGTAATAGGACCAGACTGCTGGGGGTTAGTGTCCCCCCCCCTCTCTGTCTGTCTCTTTCAGGGTTATGCAGGCTCAGTATTGGTTGAAGATGCAGTCACGTCTCCTTTTACTGAAAACTCTCCCCCTCTCCCTCACCATCTGTAAACATACATGTCTCAGTAATGCAGTTCATGCATGTTACTAACTAGACTTCTTCCCTGGAGTTTCTGTGCTCTCTCATCCAGCAGGTTCCGATGGATCGTGGCTGCTGCTGTGGTCCTGCTTGACATCTACTACATATATTATTACTCTCTGACTTGATTTATATTACAATGAAGGTGTATAAAGCATGACATGAATATAGAAGATATTTCATCCTAAAAAATTGTCATATGTCACAACCTAAATTATCCTATTTTGTGTGTGCTTGTCGTTGTTTTTTGTTATGTTTTTCTCCTGACAGTGGCAAAGTGTGGGATGACACATGGGAACCTGCGCAGTTTTACACACAGTAAACCAGGCACCACAGGTCGCAGAGATCGCACAGTTCACAGTTTGTAGTTCAGCATAAAAGTTCAAAATAAAATATTTACTATACATTTCAACCAGTGTCAGTCTCTGTTTCACTCTCTAATTGTACCTAACACATTCATGAATCTGATCGATCAATATCTTCCCTGCACTCGATATCTCATAGTTTTACATATCAGCCAACATTATTGTCTACATCCTCATAAATATAGAAGTGACTTGCTTATTATAACATATTACAAGTTAAAGTAATACTGCACTGCACGTATAGTAAGTAACACCTACTGTGTATGGGAGCCTAAAGCAAAGTTAACTGCACCAGTACCAGCTTCAGAACATATTGCATATTATGTTTCTACCTTTTTGTAATATGTCATGTTTAGATGCAGTGACAATTGCACATTTGGAGTTGTGGTCATATGTGGTTTTTATATATATATATACACAGGGTATTAGAAAAAAATTGACATTTTTTGTTATTTTTCTTGTTTGTTTGCACATTATTATTGTGTACATATTACATATGTAACATTATTGTTAATATTATTATTAGATATCAAAGATACAATTTGATTGAGGGTTTTCCTGTCATAATTTCAATACAAATGCAATTACACACGTAAACAATAGGATCAAAATAAACTTTTAAAAAGTCCGGTGATCAAATGCTGATTTTCAAAACATTCTAGAGGAAAATAAGAGATAAAATAATCTGAACAGTAACAGTGATCTTGGATGATGATTCAATGATTCTGTTTCAATCAATAGGTTCGTATCTATGACAATAATTTGATAAGTTTAACAGGTTGGTTTAGGCCTGGCAATACTGGAAATATTCACAAACTTTTGTTTTTGAAGAATGTTTATCTTTTTTGGGATGAAGCTATCTGGCAAAATGTTGTGGATTGATTTGCCATGTTCAACCACTGTTACACCAAACTCTCTCACTTATAACATGATAAAGGCCTCTTACTCTGTGTCATGGATTTTCTGTCGTTTTGGGGACACGGGGCCAAAGTCTGAGGCAATAAGTCAGATCAAAGAAGGCAATGTTTCTAAAATGGGAGTTTACTTATGTCATTATATATATCCAGGAATATGTGCCTGAGGATAGTTGTCATGAATTCAATATTAAATCAAAGTATTCCTTAATTACCACAGCTGACACGAGTTCTCCATAGTTGCCTGCTGTCTCAGGATCTGTCTCCAAAAAGGACCAGGGAGCGCTAACATGTTATGTTCTAAACTGATGAAGAAAATGCACATTAAACATAACATAAACTTACTGAGTGAAGTAATGTCAAGAGGATTCCTTTAGCTCCTATTGGGTTGGTTCCTTGATCAGTGCAATACAGAATCATTAATCTGGTTTTATGTAGTGTCCTTAAAACATGTCAAAATGGGGCTCACTAGTCTGTGTGGCCTCCATATGCCTGTATGACCTCCCTACAACACCTGGGCATGCTCCTGATGAAGTGGCAGATGCTCTCCTGATGGATCTCCTCCCAGACTCCAGGACTAAAGCATCTGCCCACTCCTGGACATTTTGTGGTGCAGTTGGTGGATGGAGCGAGACATGATGTCCCAGATGTCCTCAATTGGATTCAGGTCTGGGGAATGGGCGGGCCAGTCCACAGCATCAATGCCTTCGTCTTGCAGGAACTGCTGACACACTCCAGCCACATGAGGTCTAGGATTGTCGTGCATTAGGAGGAAACCGGGGCCAACCGCACCAGCATATGGTCTCACAAGGGGTCTGAGGATCTCATCTCAGTACCTAATGGCAGTCAGGCTACCTCTGCCAAACACATGGAGGGCTGTGCAGCTCCCCAAAGAAATGCCACCCCACACCAAAACTGACCCACTGCCAAACTCATGCTGGAGGATGTTGCAGGCAGCAGAAGGTTCTCCACGGCGTCTCCAGACTCTGTCACAAGTGCTCAGTGTGAACCTGCCTTCATCCATGAGGAGCAAAGTTGCCAATCTTTGTGTTCTCTGGCAAATGCCAAACATCCGGCATAGTGTTGGGCTGTAAGCACAACCCCCACCTGTGGACGTCGGGCCCTCATAACACCCTCATGGAGTCAGTTTCTGACCGTTTGAGCAGACGTGCACATTTGTGGCCTGCTGGAGGTCATTTTGCACAGCTCTGGCCTTTCTTTCCTACCCCACAGTACCTTCCCTTACCATTCGTTTCCTACTCTTTTACTTCTTTGATGACGGTTGTCTTTCTAGATAAGCAATTTCATTTGCTCTGGGGCGAGTCACTGGCTCGGGTGCATTCTGGGACAGTCAGTTCACCAGTGTGCTGGCATGCTTCTTAACAAACACCACTACAGCAAACATCTCAATTGTACTTGTTGATTTCTTCGACAAAACACTGAACAAAAAAATGCACTTGTGAGTGTGCTGCCTGGTGCTTTTAAATTTTGTGATAATTTGAGCAGCCCAGAAAGCATCCCATAAATTAAATTGTGTTATCATATCTGAACATGTACACTAGTCATTAAATTAGATGGGAAAGAATGATTCAGGGTAAACAACTGCACCAAGGAAATTCCATTTTTCTTCTCAAAATGTAAAATGTCTGTTGAAAAATCACATTAAACAGAGATGTGATTAACTTTTTATTTTACCAAACATAACATCAATGATGACACAATCAGTCTTCATCAGAAGTGCTCAAATCACTCTCAGTGGCATCGTCTGGAATGTCTTCCTCCTCCTCCGAGTCCATTTCCAGGAGTGGTTGGTGGCTGAGGATTCTCTTGTACACGTCCTTTACTTTGAGCATTTCAGCTTTCAGTTCACTTCTTTCTTTTTTTTTTTAAACCAGGCTACAGAGTCCCTTCTGTGCATCCTCCGACATGCCAACAAAGGAGGCTGTAAAAAGAACAAAACAAATAAATATGAGTAAAGCAAAAAACAAACAAACAAACAAAAAAACCCTCACCTCATAAACACAAGGAATTAGGATCCTGTCATTAAACTTTTTTTTTAAAGGGAGAAGGCAGTGTTAGCTAGCAATCTAGATATAGGTAAAAGATCTAGTAAGACTTTAGCATCTGCTCTTATTTTCAATCGATTCATCAAAAAATTAATAAATAAAAGATGTGCTTACAGTCTGAGGAGATTGTCCCCAACACCACAGATCACATTCGCAACACTTTTCAGTGATGCCGCATCTCCCTGCAAAGGATCATCTCCTCCTCTCTCAGGCGCCTCACAGCCATCACCTTCTCAAAGACCTTTCTCTTTGTCCGGAGGTCAGCAGCAGCTACGGTTTAACAATATCAGATGGGAAAACATAGTAGCATATTATGATTCAAGAACAAAACATTCAACTACTGCTCAGATACTGGGAGTTTGTTTAAAAAGGATATTTAGAAATCAAGAGCTTACGTTCACTTGTGCTCTGCCAGGGCCAAATGTCGGTCTGCACGAGGGCATCACTGGATACGATTTGCTTTGTTGGTTCAGCGAGCTTGTTGTAGTCATCAGCAGCAGCCGCCGCCAAGCGTTTCTTCTCAACTAAGATGACCTTGCAAATTCTGTGTCGCCTCTTGTTGCCATCTGTAAATAATCATAAAAAATTCACACCTTCACATAATGTATATAGTTACATTTTAATCTACACTCATCAATTTGTTTGCTAGAACAAATCACATCCAGCTCAAACAAACCTGGAGCTGATTTTATTCTGTTTACAAAGTAGCTGTACAAACTAAGTATCAAACGGTCCATTTCAAAGAAACTGGGACGTACCATTTTGTCTGTAAAGACTTTGTGTTCGCACTCTGATGATGGCGACAAGCTCCTCTATTCGTGCCTGCAACGCTCCAAGGCTGCCATCAGTTTGATCACTTTCTAAGTGAGAGGAATATTAATCAGAATACAGGATGAGTAACAGTCACCAAACTACAGTGGACTCTGTAATCACTGACTTGATGACATTCATTATAAGACATCTGTAGCCTTCATGTGCTGCATTATCATTAGATAACAAGTATGTTGATGTTCAGGTTTATAAAACCAACTAGTACAACATCATTTCAACCCAGGTTCTATCCAATTTGATGAAACGCAACAACTCTACCATAAATTCTGCTTTTACAAGGCTTATTTTTCATTGTTTGTTGACACTGTCAGAAAGATCTTAATTCTACCTTAAGTTCTTTAATGAGGCCATGGTGGGTCCTATTGTTATACATGAGTGCATTATATTGAGACTCACCTTCAGCCCATTTCTACACATCGGCCACCCATTGCTGCAGTGTGTCGTCATCCACACCCAGCTCATTTTTGGTCGCATTCAGGCTCTCCACTTGTTCTCTAAGGATCTTATGATCTAAGAATACATTAATAAATGTCATTCATATTGACATTAAAAGAGTACTGGTGTTTTTCCCCCATTACCACACACATTAAAATGGTTTTTGAAAAAAAAAAAATCACCTTTAGATATCTCTGGCTCAAAGTGCGGCCCAGTTGTTCCACTTCCACATAACCGGGTTTAATATAAATATCAGTGTCATGCATAATTCGGTAATTCTGGTCAATTTATTTTAGATGTGTTTTTTATATAATAATAATAATAATAATAATAATAATAGTAATAATAATAATAATAATAATAATGTGGGTTTATTTATTTACTTTTAGAAAAGACACTTCCGGTCTCACACGATATGCGCGCCAATAGTAAGCGTCTCCACCTGATGACGTAACAACGTCATAATGTTTTGATTATAGGCGCGGTCGCAGCAACGGGCTCCTTTTTACGATGGAAACCGACGAGAGTGCCGTGTTGATGATCATGTACGAGGATGAGTCGGTAGATATCCGGTATAGGAACGGAGCGCGGTTACAGCTGTCGCCGTGCGGTTCTGAATTCCTGCTGGTGAAAGCCTCAGACTCCCGCCGACATCCACTGCAGCCCGCTGAGAAAGTCCGACAGAGGACCAGGTTCACCATCAGCACATACAAGGTATCGGCACTACGTATGAGGTTTTCTATAAAAACAACTGTATTGCTTTTGTGCCTCTCGTGTTGCCTTCATCTGACTTTCTTCAACGTGATTACGTCACTTGTTTTTATTACAGAAGCTGATGTTGGCTGCACTGGCATTTAGAAATAAGTATGCCCGTCAACCATATCTGCCACATGAACTTATCTCTGCTGAGAACAAAAAGGTATAAAGAACTGGTTGCTAGTCACTGTGTTACTCCCTTAGACTATGGGCAGTGTAATTACTCTCTCTTTGTATGTTCTGCACTTCCTCATAGCCTTTTTTCAGCATTGATTCAGCTGTACATTGGCCAGAGGTGTCAGCCTCTCTGGCTGAATTCGGACTTGGAGGCGAGACCATCGTCAGGTCAGAGGAGGGACATGCAGTGTTGGTGCTGTCATCCTCCGGTGAAGAATTCACAGTGGAGTTCATGTGCAGCCTCAGTTCTGCTCGTAATCAGCACCGCAGTGTGCAGCAAGTGAGCAGAGATGATAGCTACGGCAGACAAGAGCAAGCGAGCAGTCCAATACCCGATAATACCAGTGATCACACCGAAGTGGTCCGGCACGGAAGAAGAAACATGAGGACAATGCTGACCAGACCGAGGTCTTGTTCTCCTCAGATGATCAGCGATGGGCACCAAAAGGTAGTACTTCCTTCTAATAATAATAATGCCAATGTATCTAAAGTCTGATAGGATGATTGATTTTTCTTCTCTTTCCAGCCTGAACAGGTGTACCAGTCCACCACAGTGGTCCAGCATCATTCATGCTGTGCAGTTGCTCCCAAATGGGCCTACCCTCTTTCCGTGGCTCGCCATCACTGGGGAGCTCGTTTCTCTAAAGCTAAAGATGTAGCGGATAGAGGAGCTAGCAGTTCGAACCAATCAGACAAGACAATAAACAAATTGGACATATCCTGTGAAGACAGAAGGTCCCGTGTTCCTCAGGCGCTGCCTCTCACGTGTCCAACGCCTCATCGGCACAGGTTTGTAGATTTAAAAACAAGCATTTTGTAAACCGTTTCAATATTGTTCAGTGGCTGATTTAAGCTTCCGTACTTGTGTATTTAAGGTGGAAGGTTAAAGATCCCCTGGCCAAAGAAGAACACACAGACCTTCCGACTGAGATGGTAAAGGTAGTGTGGTGTCAGGGAGTCACTTACAGGTAACTGTGCAGGTCTTCAGGGCATAAATTACGGTGGCCCTGAAAGGTCAAACGCACTGCAAGTTAAGAAGACTTAACTAACTAACTTAACTTTTGTAGAATGTTTATTTTCATTGGTGTTTTCTTAAGTGGCAATGTGTTTGATCTCTTAAGGCCACTGTTAAAAAAAAAAGCTCTGAATGATGGTTGATGTTAGACTGGATTAACCAGAGAGAAACTCTGTTGTTATTGTGTTTGACAGCTTATGGGCCATTCTAATGTCACTAATATTTATGTTGTTAGCTCAGAATCTTTGCTCTGAGGCCTGAGCACTAATCCTCGCAAACCTAACTAGCGTCTGGTCTACAGCTGAGTGTGTGAGGCTCCAATGGTATAAATAGATCACTTTGACATCACTTTTCATATCATGTGATGTAGAGCAGGGCGATATGATCAAAAATATTTATCAAGATATACATTTGAAAATTTGCGATTACGATATAACTGACACTAACAATGGATTGTATTTATATAGCGCTTTTCTAGGCACCCAAAGCGCTTTACAATTCCACTATTCATTCACGCTCACACACTGGTGCAGGCAAAGCACAGTTGTTATATATAAATTTAACAGTCGAAATGCAAATTCCTTGCTGACAGTTTAACCAAAAGGCATTTCCAGTGGAAATTGGTTGACATATCCTCAGCATAACCATGTGTAATATCCACAAAACTTAAAAAGAGGTTATACACTCAATACCGTAATATTATGTTGAAGCACAGTACTTATCACCCCGTGAGGCTCCTGCCTACGGTAGCGGTAATGCTCCGACAATCCATCAAGCGGTGCAGGTTTGTAGCTTAGCAAAGTGAAATATTTGACAGATTTTCGAGCGCTGTGTACCACATAAAATCATTTCAAGGTCAGTAAACACAACCAGAATTCATACATAAGGCACACGGGATGATAAGGGACACTGTTGATTTTTAGAAAAATCAAAGGATTGATTTCAAGTGTGCCGTATTTTCCAAAAAAAACACGGTAATAACGACGGCCCGCTAGCATGCTCTACCAAAAATAGTGCTTTATTGTGTATCTGAGGGATGAAAGCTTAACCACTTCCACACCACTGAAGTTGCAGCAGCCAATTCTGGTTCATCTGTTTCATTCAACGATCCGCTTTCGCCCTTCTTATTCTCCGTTGCCGCCATGCTTTTTCTGCCATGTGCGTATGAAAACAAAGGGCACTGCGCATGCGCGTTTTACCCATATTCTATCGCGATATTTCATTTTCTTATCGTTGCCCAACATTATACCGGTATTACCGTGAACGGTACGATATGGCCCAGCCCTAATGTGATGTTACCTAGATAATACCAAAACATCTTCTGTACTATAGTAGGTTTGGTATAGTAGGCTTTTAAGCATTTAGCACCAAATCTGAAGTGAAGGAGAGGTAATTTGTTAATCAAAATGTCGACTTGAGGGCAACAGGTCAAAAAAATCCAAGATAAGAGCTCTCTTTAGTTTTTCTTTTTTCTTTTTTTTGAGTGGTATCTTGTTTTTGCAATCTCTTCCAGGAGAGTGACGAACATTTATTATTTATTTCACAACTTTAAGGTGCTGTGGGCGATCGTGGCTCAAGAGTTGGGTGTTCGTCTTATCAGTCTTGGTCGTTGTGTCTTTGGGCAAGACACTTCACCTACCGCCTACTGGTGTTGGCCAGAGGGGCCGATGGCACAATATGGCAGCCTCACCTCTGTCAGTCTGCCCCAGGGCAGCTGTGGCTACAACTGTAGCTGCCTTCACCAGTGTATGAATGTGAGAGTGAACGAATAGTGGAATTGTACAGCGCTTTGAGGGTCCCCAAAAAGCGCTATATAAATGCAATCCATTATTATTATTATTATTATTATTATTATTATTATTATTATTAAAGGCTTGAAGATTCACTTTGAAAATACCAGAAAAGTGCTTGAATGTATTTATTTATTAAAAATAGTCCTGACAACTTATAGCTGTCATTTTTCAAGTCTTCTGTGCCTCATCAGTTGCCTGAAAGCAAAACAATAAATCAGAGCAGAAGCATCCTTCCTGTTGATTCAGTCTAACACCAAAGGTTCTCTGATATCTTCAATTTTCATACTCATGATAAAAAAATCATTGTTGTACAGTATAGAGTGTGGGAGATGGTCCATAAATCTACACCAGAATAGTGTGTTTACCTTCATGTCTGCTGTATAGGATACTGAGTGGATCTGTCTCAGCTGTTGAGGTTTCCCCAGGGGATGGATCAGTCATCCGCTCTAACCGCAACCTTAACTCTTATTTTACGCATCACAAAACTGAACTCCAGTCAGGGCGGGTAAACTTTAAATTTTATAATAAGAGATTAACCAATACATTTAAAAAACATCTTACAAATTTAGCCCATCTTTACCACAGGTCAAAGAGGTAACCTACCATTTAAACAACCTTCCACCTGATGTGCTTGGACAGGCCTACTCTGTTTGCTCTATTGTGAGTCGTGCAAGCAGGTAAGCTGCCCCCTCTTCATCGCAGTCTGGTGAGTTAAAGGACTTTTAATTTTTTCCGGTCTTCACCCATCGCATAACTGTTTTACAGGATCCTGGCTTGCTACAACCAGGCCTTGAAGTCACTGAAGTGTCCAGCCTTACCCAGCTGCTTGCAAGAGCTCGAAGTAGTAGTACCTCCTGTTACACCTGTGGATACCTACACTTACACCATTTAAGCTTGTGCACTGCCAGTTACTGAATCTCTTTCTGTTTGCAGGATGGATATTTTTGTAAACCAGCAGCGTTTGAAGAAATGGTGTCCATTTCTGTGCCTGCTGAGCAACGCATGAGTGTGACAGAGGAAGCAGGCAGTTTGTAAGTTGTGTTTTTCTGGTCACTCTGTTGATATTTTGTTATAAAATTAAAGGTGTTAACAGTTTGTGTGTACTGTTCATTTGACCTCCTGTTCATTTTAGATCAGAGCTCGTTGCTGCAGAGCTTGAGAAGATAAAGCGATTCACCTGTATCCTTCAGTGCTAAGATCAAGATACAACGGGATGCTGACATGAACATTGATGTCTGTATTGAGGGTTTCTCTGTGTGCTCTTTAACATCCTTTGCCCAGTTCTGCTGGAGAACAGTCACGTGCTGAGAAGTGGAAAAGCACATGCAGATGAGGAGGAAAGACCTGCAGACGTCACTTGTGAGCCATTAAATGACAACTATGTTGCTGAAGCTCTTCAAAGGACATCCAAAGCAATTCAGGATATTGACGCTCTCGTATCTGCTGCCACACTAACTTAAAACAATCCTTATGTTTAAGCAGGAAGCCATATTTGTGTGTTTGTCTCAATAAAAAAATATAATAAAACTGTATGGAATTATACTTAAAGTATGTATTACTATGTAATGGGGTTGCATAGACTTTTAATATTTTAGTCTACTTAACAACCCCAAAAAAGTTGGGACACAATTTATTCATAATGGAACATAATCGAATGTTTCAATTAAGACATTGTAACATTTTAAGGGGGGAAAGTTTTATTTTGAATTTGATGGCACCAAAACATCTTATAACCACTGCGTAGCATCCTTTGTTCTCTTAACCACAGCCCATAACCATCTGGGAAGTGAGGAGACCCATTGATGGACTTTTGGGTGAGGAATGGTTTACCATTGATGTTTGATAGGGGATTTGAGCAGTTCAGCAGTCCAGGGTGTTCATTGTTGTATTTTTGATTTCATGTTGCGCCAAATGTTTTCAGCTAGTGGAAGGTTTGGAATGCAGCCAGGCCACTTCAGCACCCAGACTCTTTCACTATGAATCCTTGCTGTTTTAACAGATGCTGGATGCAATTTGTTTGTAGTTCTCATCTTCAAACATTAACATTGGCAAATAGTTTATGCTGGCTCTCCTGACTGGGGTTTTCAGCTCAATGTCCCGGATTGCGTTCTATCATCAGGAGGGCATTAGATCACAGTAGGGAGGAAAATCAGAGCTCCAGCAGATCCAATATAATAAATTTCAAAAGGAATCTATTTTGGGGTTTAGTGTAGGGATCAGACTTTCAAAATAAAGCATATTCAGATTGCTCTGACGAGACAGCTCTGTAGTGCTTCTCCTGTCAAAGCAGTGCAGAATAATCAGCATTTCTATAGGTGCTATGACCTGAAGTTGGACTGAAAATCTGTACAACTCAATGGAGACCGCACAGTCCTCTGTGATGCTCCAGTGCTGCACATCACCTAATCAGACAGAGGTCCATCCAGTCCCAGGCACTGCAGTCTCTCTGTCAGGTAGTCAGTAATCCAAAACATTGTTTTAAGTTCAAGGAACTGAACTTCTTTAAATGACCAAACTGATAGATGCAGTAATAGTAAGCATCTGAATCTTCTTTGCAGTTCATTTAATGTCAGGGGGTGAATAGCTTTCAATCTATTTTCCAGATCTGTGTTCCCTTGTAACCATAATCTTTGGTTGCATTAAACTACGAACTTGGTGAACTATGCAGCACATTTTGTTTACATTGTAATCAACCGGCAGAGATTGGTTTCCCAGTCTCTGTTATCATCCAGTGGAGACAGCAGCTGCCATTGCCCCAGTGAGTCAAAACAACTAAATAGTTTATGGCTGAAGATTTTTTATTTTTTTGAGCGAGTGACTATTGACACATTTTAAATCCCTGATTTGCCAATCATGTACACTAGCAGAATGATCTACCTAATACACTCAGTAAGCTCATAGATTATGGGGAAGATTAATATAAAATCTCTCATTACAACCCATGAGGATTTAAAAGAAGAGAAAGAATCACAGAGCCATCGCCTACTGTATAACTTTGTATCTATGATGATTCCAGTTCACTAGCTGATGCGCTCAGAGCAAAAGTAAATTATAAAGTTGCCTATCATATCTCTTTCTCATGTGACTTTACACTTTCTCTATTTTCAGTGACTTAATCAGCTGTTTCTATTTCCTTTAGGCTGTTTGTTAATAAAAATGTATTCATATTAATTTTAAAATAGGAATACATTAATGTTATTGATGTTAATGTAAATATAATAGGCCTGCTATAAGCTACTGCCATACCGTTAACTTTTTTTTCTGATTAGCTCACTAATTATAGATAGATAGATAGATAGATAGATAGATAGATAGATAGATAGATAGATAGATAGATAGATAGATAGATAGATAGATAGATAGATAGATAGATAGATAGATAGATAGGTTATACAATACTTCTGTCCTTTGGATGTTTCAGATTGGGCCATTAAATTGAGTAGAGCTCAGAATGTGTGTGTAGAGTCATTGCTTTTAGAGAGTAAGAGAAAAAGTCACCTTCTTTCATGCATTCAATTGTTAGTTGAAATTAATTTGCAAACAGACAAAATACGCCTGTACTCAGAGAGTGTCTATTTATTTCAAATGGTGAAGCCACATTTCGGTCCACTCCCAGATTGACAAAGTGTTCATTGTTATGTATGGGTGACACCAAGTGTGCAAGACGGTTATTGCAGATATTAAGACCTGAAAAGCTGAACATTGTAGTCATTCATTGTTATTATTATTCTTTTCTCACACCTGTTTTGCCTTTAGTAAAACGGCGGAAAAACTAACTAACAAGAAGTTGTGCTGCAATATGATATTTTACTTTTGATATTACTTACTTTTGATATATACAAAAAATTTATGAATAATAATAACTGCATAATAATAACTTGCACATTAGATCATTAAATTATATTTAAAAACCAGAATAAACTACTTTAAATGTTTATTGACAGATTTTACGTGTGAAAAATAGCGAAGTAATCAGTTATAACTATGAAATGTGAAAGGTCGAGCTGGAGCCACTCATAGACATGAATTATTGAAAGTTTTTTTTTCAATCAAAACCAATGTTAAATGTAGACATAATAATAATAATAATAATAATAATAATAATAATAATAATAGGGAAAAGAAGAGGAAGAATATACTTAAACAATAAAAAATGAATGGATAAGGCAAGTCAAAAATTAACTTTACCTGAAATGATAATATTTGTGATAGAAATTATATGGCGTTGAGATCCCCCTTTGCTAACCCTAACACAGTCGCCAGATCAGAGTTATGCTTTTATCACTGGTAAGATTAGAGGGATATTAAGGAGGATCCAGCTGATCTTAGGTCTGCTGAGGATCTGTTGCGGTCCTTCTGTCGTCTGCTGTCTCGCGATAACCCGCGAAGTTTCCGGTGTTGTGTATGTTCCTGGAAACATGGCGGCCAGCTTCCGCGGCCGTCCTATCCGGAGTCTTCGGATGCGAGGTAAGCACAAAAACCTCGGTTCAGCGGCTGCTGTAAAAGGAGGATATTGCAAAATATGATTTTGTCACGCACGCGATGACCTTGGAGTAATGTCTCGGCGTGTCCGTGGTGTGTGTTTTTGACAGGTCGGAATGACAGCGGGGAGGAGAACGTACCGCTGGATCTGAGCAGAGGTAAGCAGAGGCTTCATCACATCACCCTGAAAGCGATTATTGTTCAAAATGGATGAGGGCGATTTCTGCAAACGCTAGCCCCGCGTGGTGAAAGTCTAGACAGTGTACGCGCTTGACCCGTCACTGCTGTTGTTATTTCGCCATTTTCCCTCACTGTTTGGTCTAAAAACGTCGCTATCGATGTCATAACAACAGGCGGCAACGAGCTAACTTAACTAGCTGAGTTAGCGTTAGCTAGCTGCCCCAGCTAACCAGCCATGAAGACGCTCTGTTATTTTGATCGGCGTGAGTGGGCACGATAGCCTGTTATTTAGCCAAGTAGCCATAAGAGTTGCAGTCATGCATTTGTCATCGCTAACTGGCTGGGGGAATTGAGTCTGAAAGCTGTGCGCCGAGAAGCATTGAGGCAACACACGGTGGTTCTTCCAGAGGAGCACTGATAACACAGCTGCACAACTTGTCAGATTTACTCCTCCAGCATCAACACTGCATAGCAGTTTGTTTACACGGAGCAGCGGTGTCTGAGTCCTGGAGGCCCAGATCCCTGCTAGATTCATTACAATCGTCTCAACTAGAGACATGCTCACCTGAAATATGTGTGACTGACAACATTAAAATCTTCACCACAGGAGAGTCTATACACTTAACCTATCAGCTGCTTCAGTGCGATTTGCACTATTTACATGTTCTTCCTGATAATACCAAAACTGGGGAAAATAAAGTATGTCAGTTCCCAGAGGTTTAAAGTTATGAAATAACAAATGTGCATACTAAGTTCATGTAATCACTGTGGCATCAATTAAAATGTGATGTATTCATAACTTACTGTACGATTGGCTCGTGATGTTTACAAATGCTTGTTACCAAAGTAACCCTTTGGGCTGGCATTTTTCTCATTTCCACTTTTGAGCGATGGATTGAGTGCAGTGTTTGGAGCAGTGAGACTGATGACTAATACTGATAGCTGTTACTTTTTGACAAGCTGCAGCGTAATCAGGCTTATCATCTGCTGCGCTTTGTTGTTGAGGAGAAAGTGATCTGCGCAGCTCATTAAGCTGGTGTTTTCCCAGTTTGTGCGATGTTTACATTTGTCTTGCAGGGCAATATCTGGAAGTCATCCCACGCAAAGCGGGCGTTTAGGCGTCGACCACGCTCAGACGATTCTGTTTTAAAATGCGGTTCCCGTTTGTCAAAATATTTAACGTAGGATAGTTGAAAGGAACTGAAAACAAAAACACTTCCCGCTCAGGTCTGGCTATTTTAGTGTCTAGCCTTTGTTTTGATTGTACACTCTACATTAGTTCCAGCTAAACCAACTTCCTTCCTGCAGGATATCTATTACGGTTCATTGACTGATATTATTATGGCAATATGGCTTAACGCCTCCCTTAGTTACATTGTATTTCCTTTTCATTCTCCTTTAGAACCGTCAGAAAACTTCCGTGAAATCCTTCAAAATGTGGCCAAACCGCACGGAGTCAGTAACATGCGAAAACTGGGCCACCTGAACAACTTCATAAAGGTAACGCTGTCAAGCTCTGATAATTTTTGCCTCATTTAAAGACAGTTTTGCCTCGCTGAAATGTTGTGAGACATGCAGCTTTTTGAGAGGGTTCACTGGGTTCAGATATCTCACAAGATTGATTAGCTGCTCCTCCTCTGTAGTGTCACCACTGACCTCTCCTTGATCTTTTCCTCTTGGGTGTTGATGCCAGCAGGCCTAGTTGTGCCTGTCACTGTGATGCTGACAGTGAATATAACAGGAGCTTGAGGGATAGGAGAGCACTTCAGTCTAATGTGCATCTGGAGCAGCGCTCAGACTTTGAAATCTGAGATTAATAGTGTCTGGTTATTGTTTGTATGGACCCGAGACTTTGATTTGTTAAA